CGATGCCAAAGTTTGAGGCGTCGCACATGGCATAAAATTGTTGGTCGGGATCTGGAATAGTGTTTGATAATTGTTCAGTGAGAAGAGTTTTTATTTCTTCAAATCGTTTCTGATGTTCTGTTGTCCATTCAGAATTATTCTGCTGTCTAAGGATGTTGTAGAATGGTCTTAAGTATAACTGCATTTTATATACGTTTTTACTTAAGAAGTTTAACATTCCAAGAAATTCTTGTAATTCCTTTTTATTCGGAGGTGGTTGGAGTTTTTGGATTGCATCTATGCGAGATTTTAATGGAGTTAGAGTGTTTCTTTTAATAATATGTCCAAGGAATTTTACTCGCGTTATAAAAAAAACGTGACTTATCCGGGCTGCTTTCATGTTTTCGTGTAGTAACATTTGGTGATTTTTTTCTAAGACAATGAACTTTCGCCTTTTGTTTGTGATTGCATAAAAACATCGTCTAAATGTGTGACTGCATTTTTGTTGAGTATAAGTGGTCTGAAAATAATACTCAAAAATGCTGAAAATGGTGCTGGTCCTATGGAAACTCCATTGATTAATCTGTTGAATTCTTATTGATGATTTCCAATAACGAAATTTGTTAATCGTAATGATTGTTCATCTAGCAGCATTTGATTATACGCACTTTTCATATCTGCTGTTGGGAGATTTTTTACCGTTTATTTTTGCGAGAATTACTTGAAATAGTTCAATATGCCAATTACCTTTAGATTCATCAATTAGTGAGTTGAGATATTTTGCATCTTGAACAATTTTTAATGATTCTCTTTTTGCTAAAAAGATAACGAGGTTTATGAGTGTGTTACCTTTTGGCTGTTTCTCTTTATTTACTGGAGAGATGATTTCAAATTGTTCTAGTATTTCAAGTAGTCGGTTAACTTTATCTTGCAAGTGAATTGGGACTTTACATGCTCGTTGTTTTTTTTGAAAACTGTGTCAGTTTTTAGGGGTAAGAGTAATGTTAAATTTAATTTTCCAACATCAAATTTTGATGTTGCGTAAACTTTTGAGTATTTTAATAGTAAGTCCGCTAATTGTTCGAATTCTTTTTGTGTTATCTGAAAGTGTTGAAAGTTAAATATTGCTAGAACTTTTTGTTCTTCCGTGTATTTTGATATTCGAAAAATTGGTTTAAATTCGGCTGTTTTTGTGAAATAATCTGTTTTCGTTTTTCTTTGCTCAAAATTCTATTAATTGACAATTTTTCGTCAAGAATTGTTTTTTGACATATATCTAACAGTTGTAAAATATTATTTACTCTATATACGCTATTTATTTTGTGGGAGAAATTGTTGCGTTAGTTTCAAAATAACCTGAGAGTCCTAGAGGTAAGGTTATTTTATATGAAGAATTGTAACAGATGTGTAAAGAAATCAGATCGGAGTTTGAGTCTTTCATGTATTTGATAGATGGAATTAATACTCGGAAAAATGTATGAATTGGTCTGAATTCAAGATCAGACATAAAGAGACGTTGTTTATTTTGTTCTTTATCATATTGATGAACTTGTTTGAGTGAAAAGTTATACACATTTCTTGGTAGTGGTTTCAGGTGTTTCCGTTTCTGATTGTACATGGGGTAAAAATTAGAGAAAAATGATGGTTGTTTGTTTAATTTTTTAAAAAATGTCAAAGCTGTGTTTTTCATTCTTGTGTATTTGTCTTTTATATGAATTCTACTATTTAGGATAATAGTTGTCGGTATATATGTATGGTAATAAATGGATTCCACTGATATTATGTATTATATCAGTGATGTGGAAAGTTTGTTTAAATGGTTTGCTCATGAGTTTGTTTTGTTCCATTGTTCAAGTGGGAATAAGGAAAAGTTGGATGTTTCCAGAAGTTGTTAAGGTTGATTGTTTTGCGGTTGCTAAACTGCTTGTTTTTTGAAGGGTATTAATTTTGGGTGTAGAATTCTTATTTCATTCCAAGTTGGCTTGTTTATAGTATTTGATTCTGCACCAGAATCTAATAAAAAATCTATTTCAAGGTCTAGTATTTGCAATTGTTTGGACTTTGGTTTTTCGAAAAGAAGTGGGACTGTCGTTTTTTTTTCTTTTGTACCTGTGGTTCTTTAGGTATGTTTTGATAAATGTTATTTGTGCTTGAGTATTCCGTGGGTTTTTCTTCTGTTATTTCTTCTACAATTTTCTCTACTTTTTTCTTTGTTGTGTTATTTGATATTGATTTTGTATAATAATTTGAAAGAAACTGATCATGGTTTTGATACATGTGAGAATATATTGGTTGTTGGTATATGATTGGTTCCTAGTCATTTTCAACGTTTATCATGTTATTTGAAATTACCTTTTCTGTGTCACTTTCGCTGTCTGTGGATTCGCAATTAATGTGGTTTAATTGCAATTCTGTGCTTTCGTTGTTTTCAATACCAGGGAATCTGGTTGAGTTTCTTCAGTTAATTGTAATTGATTTTTTTGTCATTGAAGTTTACGTGTACTACTCCTAAAATTTTGTTGTGAATTTTATAACGTGTGTTTCTTCTATATGGTGATTGAGAGTAGTTCTTTTGTCTGTTGTTATATCTTGAACTTCTGTTCTGTGAACTGTCGCGTGATCTATTTTGATAATTACTATTTTTATGTCTGTTGTTAGAAAAATCGCGTGATCGATTATTTTGAGATCTAGGGTTTTGATTGTTTGAATAGTTTCTATTCCTATCGTTGGAATATTTTCTATATCGATTGTGTGAAGAGTGTCTAGATCGATTATTTGAATAATTTCTATTTCTAGAATGGGAATGGGAACTGGTATCAAACGAAAATTCAGCTTGGTTTGAAATTGATTTCGAATAGTTATTTCGATATTGACTATTTCGAGTGTGTGATCGACTACATCAGTTTTGTGAGAAATTTCGTGAGTTTCTTTGGTATGGTGATCGTCCTCTGTAATTCGCATTATAGGGTGATTGTTGTCTAGAGTAATTGGAGTTATTTGGAAGTGGTTTTCCTGAACTTTTATTAGCATGAATGTTTTTGTTGGGTAAATTTTGATCTTTCTTCATGTATTGATGAAATGATTTGTGAGGTTCTCTATATTTTTGTGGTTTATTTTGGTTATCTTGTTGTTTTTTGTCTGCATTCAGCAACGCTGTGTCCGTATCGACGACAAAAATTACATCATTTTTTGAATGATGGTTTGCCTTTAAAAGTTCGGGCTTTTCTCGTAAATGTTCAAATTTTCAGTGATTTTTTCGGATAATTCTGTATCAGAGTCGTTGATATTGTTTATCTGTAAGTAGTAGTTTGGATATTGTTAACATATTGTACCTTTAGTTTTACCGTCTCTTCTAGTTTCATAGTGACTTCTGCTTGCTCTAGTTTATCTACCAGTTTCCTATAGTCTAAACCTGGTACTGAGATTGAGGAAGGATGTGATGCTCTCCTTTTATTGCTATTTTTCGTAATTGAGGTGTTAGAGTAATCATTAGGATTTTGTTTGTTTCTGCAAGTTGTTTTATTGTTTCATTTGGTAGTCTATGAATTTCATTGCTTAAAATTCTTTGATGTTGTTTGTTTCTTTTTGAGTCAAACTTTTTTGAGAATTCTTGTGTGAATCTTTTCCAATCTGATTTTATTTCTATAGGTAAAACGGAAAACCATTTTTGGGCTGCGCTGTCAAGTGTAGTTTGGATTAAAGCTGTGCGTCTATGTATCCATTTTTCATGAAGTTGTGTGTTTACTGGTTTACTGTGACTGATTAGGTTTGCAGTGACTGCGTTTAGATAATCTTCTACAGAGTATTCTGGATATGTGCTTGTGAATACCATTAGTGGTTTATTTGATTTTTTTGATGATCCAACCATAAGATAAGGATTCATAGTCATTTGTAGTGATTCTGCGGCATGTGGCATTCGAGAAAAATTTTTTAGTTGGTTTTTTTGTTATTTCGTTTTGTTGTATTATCTACAATGGAATTTCGTTATGCATTTGGAATTTCGTCAGTGGAATTTCGTTATGCATTTGAATTTGTTGGTATGATTGTGTGTTAACTGGATTTTGTCCGATATGATTGTTAGCATTTTATTTTTATTTAGAGATAAAATATCATAATAATAACCATTGATAAATACTAGTTTGAATCTGGTTCCAAAATAAGCGAACTTTTTTTTCGAATTAGTTTTTCATTTTTGTTGATATTTTTTCTAATCTAATTTTTTCGAATCGTTTTCTGATTTTTCTAAATTTAACTTAGTATAAATCTGCTCGAGACTATTTTGGTCGCACCAGATAAATTTAAGTCCGTGTTGGCTTCCTCATAGAGTAATTCCCAATAGAGAACATCGTCTGCTCTTCAAGCTATCTGATTTTCGGCCGGATAGATTCTTGCAACTTCATAGTCTAATACCGATCCAAACCTATTACTGACAATTCTGAATATCAACAGATCTAGTATATACTGGTTTTCTTGTGAGGTTAGAGGAGAGGAAGAGCAACTGCTTTCTAAGTTAAACTTATTCTTCTCTGGCTGAAAATATAAATAGTTTCAGCCTTACAGGTTATTGTAAGTTTTGGTCATGGATCACGATTGGTTAATTCTAACTATTTCACAGTGATAGTTATCAAGAATATACTTCGATATATAAAGTTTTGCTTTGAACTGGTTCCAGCATTTTTGGAAAGTTTTTTCAAATTACTGTCTCTGGATTCCAGTCACTTAGACACAAGTTGTGAGGCCATCCAGTGCACAATTTGACCAGTAATATAGGATGAAAATCCGAGATAAAATCGAGGGAAAAAATTAATTATTGATTTTGGGAATCTGATTTTAACCCAAATAAGCCAAACTGAACCACTCATTTATAAAGATAAACGTATATGTGCGCGTAGCGCGTATATAAAGATAAACACAATGTGCTGCTACAGCACTTGTAATGAATTGTTGTTGAATACTGACAAAATTCATCGACTGACGCAATTAAGCCTCTAGTAAGCGTAACACAGTAAAAGCAGGTGAGCATTATGTAGCAAATTTTGCACATTGTCCAAAGCATAAACGTTTTATAGCTTTTTATGTTTTAAAGAATTTTTTTTCAGTTTATCAGCAGATAACTTCTGAGGCAATTCAAGTTTTATCTAGAATAAACCGAACAAAAAATTAAATTGAAAAAGTCTGGAATTGCTTGGAAGAATTGGAATGGCAGCAGAGGATAGAGAGTGTGTGCAAAGTAAGAGAGCTTCTGATTATAAAACAGGATGGGGGGTTGGATTATCTGACGCCACAGCAGCTGACGCAGAGGAAGATAAGGATCACCGGACGAAGACTGCTGCGACACCTATCTCACGACCAGGTATGTCCCCTTATATCCCCACCCGGATCGAAGTTTGTGATTTAAGTTAGGACCGACTGGACCAAATGTTTTATATTTTTCTACCGATGTTTCGGACTGAACGATCAATAGTTTCGACCAGCTGCGTCAATTGTTTCGGACTATTTGAGCAAAGGTTTCGACTGTCTTGACCAAAACTTGGTATGTTTCAAGCATGTTCAACCAAGAAAAAAGCTTCGGCCGCATTCGACCAATGAAAAACATTTCGGTCAAGTTCGAACGAGAAAAACGTTTTGATTAAGTTAATTGTGTTTCGATCAAATTTATTTAAAATTAAAAACATAATATCTGCTTTTGAACTAACGTTTTACCAGTTTATAAGCATAAAGTACATTAAAATTGGAATGTGTCGTATCTTACACTCAGTTTGAAAAATCATTGCCTAAAGACGTGGGTTTTTGTATTAAGTCTGCCACTACTAGCTGGAAAAAATGTTGATTAAATATTTCAAAAAATTTATATTTTTGGGCTTAAGTACATGCTGGCTCACCCATAGAGTAATTTCAGATAAGGTACACCGTCTGTTCGTCACGCTATCTTATTTTCGGCCGGATAGATTGGTGTAACTTCTTAGTCTATTACCAATCTTAATATCCTAGTCTCAATAGATCTAGCGTATACTGGTATTTGCGGGTAAGATATCTGGAACATGTTCCAAATGAGAACAACTGTTTTCTAAGTTATATTCAAATTGTTCTGGTGCTGAAAATTCGGGTAGTGTCAGCACTACAAATAATTGTCGGTATTAGTTATGGATCATGACTGGATAATGTCGATAAATTCGTTGTCATCGTGATTGTTTTTCAGGGGGAATTTCAATGGGTTAGTTAAGTTGTAGCAGGAGATCCAGGATTGTTTAGGGAGTAGGGTGTATTCATCGACGTATGGTGTGCGTTGGATTTCATTTTCTGTATTATAGTAAGTATATTGAGAAAAAAATGGTAGGTTATGGATTGAAAAGTCTTGAGTTATTCAGTGGTTGTGTCAACGTTTCAGATTTAAGCATTGATGTACTGATTTCGCTAAACTAGAACGAGACTACATTCAAGGTGGTGCTTGACTTCTTTGTGTGAAGGGCCAATTTATCAGGATTCGTATCTCAGGTCAACATCGAGTTGGCCCTTGTTCTTCGTCAATGAATACTTTTGCTGCGATGTTGGGTCCATAATTTAAATCCTGTGAGGGTTGAAACTACGGCAACAAACCAATAGATTTGCTATTCTAAAGTCGGAATGTCATCTAGTTTTCATCTTCATTTGCTGCTTGTTCATTTTGCTCTAGGAAACCTTTTTACTTTGCAAACTTATATATGTATCTTGTTAGCGAGATCACTTTTTGTTATGATAATTATTGGTGTCTCTCGCAAAAGCTTTTCTATTTAGTTTCAGTTGTTTTAAAGAGTCGCTCACCCCAGAGCAACTCTCATCAAAAGTAAAAGTGCGTGTCATAAGCGTCGTGTAGCGTGTTTAGTTGGGCCGGCTGTAGAGCATGCTCAAGCCGTCCTACAGGTGGGTTACGCCAGTTGAGGGAATATAACTTTACCGTCTCTTTGAACAAAGAATCTATTAGTGTTCAAATTTTAATTCTTTTTTATTTGGTGTTTTTCTCTTTTTTGTTTTTGGTTGTGTCCTTTTATGTGGTATAGATTTTTGTTTTGGGTGTTTCTGTTGGTATATCGGTGTTTTTGTTGGTTTCAATTAAACATGGAAAAGGACGTTTCAAAAACAACGTGTCCAGTTTTAATCTAGGTTTAATTGGGTTTGGGTACCGTGGGACTTTCTCATACATGCGATTGATTTTGTGGTACTAGTAAGCTGCGTTGGTTAGCTTAAATTTTACTATAATTCTTTCCAACAGGGTTGAGGGAGAGGTTGAAACGCTCAAAAACAATTAAATTGGGCGGTTAAATGAGAAATGTTCATTTAAAAAGAAGCACTCACAAAACGGTTAAATTTCTGTAATTCATTTTGCCTGATAATTTACTCCTTAATATTTGAGTTTTACTACAGAAATTTCAATTTTTGTATTAGTTTTTGTTTTGAATGAGCTATGTTGGTAATGATTAATTTATTGCATCTGTTTTATTTTTGAGTAAGCTGCGTTGGTTAGTTTGAGTAACTGCGTTGGTTAGCTTAAGCTTGGTTATGATTCCTTCCAATCGGGTTAATAGAATGTTTAAAACATGTAAAAACTAACAAGTTGAAGTTGTTATCAGTTAGTTACTGAAAATTGAAGTTCATTTATTAAGTAATTCTACGTGGAAGTTGGTGGAAAGAGTGCGTGTAATGTGGCCGTGTAAAAGAGAAATGATCGTTTAAAAAAAAAGTTAATTTTCTGTAATTTAGTTTGCATTATTAATTCACTACTCCATCTTTAAATTTTACTACAGAATTAACAATTTTACTGAATATGTATGAATTTTAATTCGCTAGAAGAACTCAGTTACACAGTTAGATTAAAAATTGTAAAATGGAAGAGAGTTTTTGATTATTATTTTGACTTTATACTTTAGACGAGTGATTGGTAAAATTCAGAAAAGAACGGCGAAAACATGTAAGGAGTAGTGTGTAATCATCGACCTATGGTGTGCGTTGAGTTTCATTTTCTGTCTTATAGCAAGTTTATTGAGTAAATAAATGGAAAGATTTTGTATTGAAAAGTCTGGGGTAGTAAAGTGATGAGTATGATGGGATTATAGTCCAGAATGATTGTCGGCGACTAATAAGGAATTGTGGCGTAATGTTAGTGTGCTTTCCTTCCAAAAACGAGGTGCATAGACGAGGTGCTATCGTTTCATAAACGAGGATTTGGAGGTTGAAGCTGAGTGGGATAGTTGGTGAATTGTTTGGGAGTTGTTTGTGCCATGAATTTGTTGTTGGTGATATTTAAAATTTTTTAAGTCGTGCTCAAGTTGGTTGTCTGTGATAGGGTTTGACACATCGAAATGTAGAGTGAAAGAATAGGAGTAGAGTCAGTGTGTGAAGAGGGTTCATCACGGATAGTTGGAGCTATAGGTTGAGAAAGTGGTTGAGAAAAATTAGTAGGGCTCGGTTCCGAATCAAGGATTTCATCGGGGGTTTCTATATCGAAATTATTAAAATTAAGATGATATCAAAACTGTTAGGTTCGAGTCGTCTGTCTGACTCTATGCGTGGTGAGTTAGAAGAAAAACTGGGTAGGGGAGACGAGGTGAGGTGTGAAATTGAAATCCGGGAATTTCGGCAATGTAGAATTGAAGGATAGGAAAGGGAACAGTTGAGGGACCCAATTTGTTGGCTCATGGTGGGCTTAAAAGATGATTGTTTTGAGAACAAAAATTTAGTGTGTGTTTCACAGTTTGTTCATATGCGTCACCAAAATTCGGTTTTTGGAGTGTGTTATGTTATATTTGGCTTTGTTATAAAACATTATTTTGAAGTATGCTTTCAGTGGTCCAAAGTGTGTTTCTATAACTTTGTGTGACTACGGATAAATGATGATTAAAATGTGATGGTGCTGTAGCTGTCGCAGTTAAATTAGCTTGTGGATTATCAAAGGTGTTCGTTTTTTGTAGATGTTTTTTTATTATACTCATTAATTTGAGCATCAAGAAGGATTTTACTAGGAGAGGTGGAAAATATTCCAGAAAAACCTGCAAATAAAATGCATACAATGCTTGTTGTCTATTGACTGGCTTAAGTATTGCGCATGTTTAATAGATTCCTTCTAATGGTGAAATGAAAATCCAATATAGTTAAGCACTGCGTGTAATATACCCAATCTTTACAAAATACAACAGAGCCATCCAAGAAATGCTTGGAGTTCGTTTTTGATGTTTACGAACCTAATAACATTAATTGCTGAAATATGTTTCGAACTATGTTTTTCTCCGTTGAGGTTTATAATGTCTATACTATCCTCAAAATATCCATTATAGTCTTGTCGTTAGACGTCTGAGAAACCTGCTGTTTCAGCTATTTTTCGTAGGTTTTGATCGATTGTCTTTGTATTGTATCAATTTAATGAGAAGTTCTTGAAAATAGTCTTACTAATTTATTGTTGTGTATCAGATTGGGAATAACAACCTATTGATTGTTGGTCTATTTTTGGGTTACGAGGGATTGCACGTTTAGTTTTGGGTGAAAATTTTTTAGAGGCGGCTTTTAATGCAAGGTAAGGAAGTGGAAGTTAATGTTTATCCTCGTTTGGCTCAAGCTGTTCTAGCTCGTGGCTTTATTCAGATCCACACGGGACAATTGTATTCCAAAGTAGATTTGGCGTGATAGTGTATCTACAAAACGTACTATGTTTTCTATAAAATATAGCTTCACGTTGGTAGCATCTTTCATCTTGAAAAACATAAAGTGGTGAAACTTTTTTAAGTGCAAGTGTAATACCAAAAAAATTTCCTTCATAGTCAAAAAAGTTACAGTGGTTGCCTGTTAAGAGGTATTCTTACAAAGGTAATTTAACTACTGCTAAAGCGAGATCTTGTAGTATTTGTGTTCTTTCTATGATAGATGTGACGAAGTTTCAGATTTTTGAGATTTCTTTTTGAATAATAAAATTTAGAATGAAACAAATGTTGTTATCTTTAGGTTCGATGCTGATATAGAACGTGAATTTAATTGATACTGATTATTTTCTCTTTGTAATATTTTTTTTGCACTTTTTTGATAAATTTCCTTATGTTTTTTATATCTGTCTAAAATTCATTCTGTATGGGTTCCAGAGGCTTATATTGATACTTGTTGATGGTGAAAGTGGTAAAATTTAACAATTTGAAATTTTATTGGATTGACAGTAAGCTTGTGCGTCTTCTGAGGAGTTTGCTGTGAACATTATGTGTTTACGTGGCTTTCGGTTAAAAACCATATCGAATGATGAAAATTCAAATGTTTTTGTGGTTTGAGACTTATATGCTAGAGGGAATAAATTTACGTCTGTTGACCATTTGGTGTGTTTTTGTCGTTTCCGTTTTA